TCATATATATATATATATATATATATATATATATATATATATATATATATAACCTTTGATATAATTAATCATGTAGTGGAGGTATAAATCAAAAGTCGGGCAGTGGGAAATTCAACGTCGGGACAGTATGCAATAAAAGCCGGCACCTAATTTCAATTACAGTACTGTAATTTGTTACAATATGAATATGATCAGGTCTCTTACTTTAGCCTAACAAAACAAACAGTTGCCTAGAAACGCTCACAAAATCAGGATAAGACAGTATATACATATACCCAGGTATCGAAATGCACGCCATCGTGTTGGGATTCAATGTTTCGACATTAATTGACATGACATAGGCCTACGGTAATTAATGTCGAAATATTTAATTACGACGCGATGGCGTGCATTTCGATACTTGGAATATACTATCAGTATCATTTTTATTTTTTTTAAATATAGAGTTAATTTGTAAGACAGCCTATTTAGACGTTAGTGGGTAATAAATTATAAGTGATATTGTTTTACTTAATATATACATAATAATTAAATTTAAATCGCTATATTAGTTTAAAAAATCACTTTATTTTATTTAGAACTGCAGTGTAATGTATGCGTTAATGCACTGCATAGTTTTACATGCTTCATTGCTATTGTCTTTCCATAGGCCTGAATATGTTTTCTAATTGTGTAGTGCTTTTACACAATACAATCAATAAACTTCATTTCCATAACAAAAGCTTAACAAGAAACGCCCTTTACTCAACTTCTCAAAACTATACTTTTGGCCTAATGTGTTCTTGCCAATCATGGCAGGATGCTGGTGTTAATGAATTTGAAAACCCCGGAGGCCTATAAACAGGGATATAGTAATCAGGCGAAATAAAATAATAACTGATATAAATGAATGAATGAATTAAATGTGAGTGTGTCAATTTAATGCCAGTATATTGCTTTTTTTAGAACTATTCGTAGGAACATTCCCACGCTCTGCTGCTATGGAAATACAGACTGAATCAAAGTGTACGTGTCATTGATCTTGCTGCCGGCCGAGTTATGCATAGCTCAAACCCTTTGTACGCCGCCCAGTGTTATAACCAGGCCAAACTTATGTTGTTGCCATGAGCATAGAGGAATAAATTCGTAGTGACAGGATAAAAGCAATTTAATGCCAGTATCTGCTTCTTCTAGAACTATTTATAGGAACAGTCCCATGGTTCTGCTGCTATGGAAATTGACTATTAAGTGTCATTGATCTTGCTGCGGGCCGAGTTATGCATAGCCGTACGCTTTATACGGCGCCCAGTGATAACGACACGATGTTACCATGGAAAAGCATAGAATAAACTAAGAAAATATCAGTCTCTGAATTTTTGTGTGCAATTAAATCTTGTATTTATTATTTTCTTTAAATCTCATTTTCAATTATATTTTATATTTGTTATATATATTTGAAAATGGATTTGGTACGATACAAATAAATTAATTACAATAAAGACAACAAGGAAGTGACAAACAGAAATTAAAAATCAAACAAGAAGAGCTCACTCAGTAGAACATAAATTAAAGTTAATTAGCGTAAACAGTTTATTACATGAACATAGGCCTAATTAGTGATCAAGATCTACTGTGTGTGTGTGTACAACCATAGAGAAAGTTCTATTTTCTCTATGGTACAACAGTCGCATAGGACATAAACCACCCAGGACATAAACCACCCAGGACATAAACCACCCAATTGGAATATACCATTGTTAAAGTGGGTGGGCAATGTTGGGTGGTCTTGCTTTTATCTAGCTTTACAATAGGACTTAATTTGCTATTGTACACTCCTATTATACGCCTTTAATTCATTCATTTCTTCTGACAACATGCATGTTGGTTAGTAATCATTGTAGATTTTAGTAATCACTGTGCTTAAAGTTTAATTTTTTTTAGTTTTCTAAATTTATTTTAATTTTTAAAACGACTGACATTAAAAATCACTTTCAATTAAATACTTCCCTTTAATAATAATAATAATTTTATTTTAGTAATCACTGTGCTTAAAGTTTAATTGTTTTAATAGGTATATTTTAGTTTTCTAAAATTATTTTCTCAAATTATTACAAAATGGGTAAAAATAAGAATATAAATGACTAATTCTATCAAAAAGTATTTATCATACATGTATATGGTTTACAAATTGAATTCTTAATAATTATCATTAATTTACATTAACAGTATTTATATTATATAACTGAGATAATAATTTGAATGTCTTGAATTGTTTTAATAGGTATATTTTAGTTTTCTAAAATTATTTTCTAAAATTATTGCACAATGGGTAAAAATAAGAATATAAATGACTAATTCTATCAAAAAGTATTTATCATACATGTATATGGTTTACAAATTGAATTCTTAATAATTATCATTAATTTACATTTACAGTATTTATATTATATAACTGAGATAATAATTTGAATGTCTTGAATTCTTAATAATTATCATTAATTTACATTTACAGAATTTATATTATATAACTAAGATAATAATTTGAATGTAAATGTATCCATCACTAAGATCTTACCATTTCATCATTTTATGTTATTGAATCGCAGCAAAACCAGTATTATACAGTATTTCAATAGGACTCATTTCTATAATAATAATTACAAACTAAAATATTTTATTGAACATGTTATTCATTCATTAACAAAATTAAATACTCCATTAAAGTACTTTAATAGAGTATACTTTACTACAATAATGGTATTTGTCTAGGTAATATTTAGTATTCTAATTTGTTTAAATTTAGTATTTTTATTTAATAATAATAATAATAATAATAAAAATAATAATAATAATGATAATAATAATAAAAATAATAATAAAAATAATAATAATACATAGAGAGTACACTAACATATACTATAATTACTATAGGCTATTATACATTATAAAAGGAAGATAATTAATTTAATAATTAAATACTTAAATTAAATTCTGTTACATATAGAGTAGATATAGATAAAAGCAAGACCACCCAACATTGTTCACCCTGTTGCCCACCCACTTTAACAATGGTATATTCCAATTGGGTGGTTTATGTCCTGGGTGGTTTATGTCCTGGGTGGTTTATGTCCTACATTCTTCCTTACAGTGTACTGCATCGCCGGCTGGAAGTGTAGGGCCTGTGGTTTTGACATTACTCTACAAAGTAAAAGTTAGACGCTTGACTCTGGTCCTGTACTCAATGGGCTATGGGATATTTACTGAATTACGATCTCTTAACATATTATCATTATTTCATTCTTTAAATTGCTTTTTCTATCCATTGATTTATTATTGTCTATAATTTGTTCCGATATAATAGTTGGGAATAACCTTGCATTTAAAATATATTATGGTAGGCCTATATAAAAAATAAGTGTACAATAGGCCTACTATTTGTAGTCCTATTCATAATAAAGTACAGTGACCACCAATAAGTGCAGTAGGCTAAGCTAGGGTGGCATTATTTTTTCCCCATTTATTTTCATTCATTCTCTGTAGGTCATTTTGAAAGCAGACATTGGGCCTGGGTGTAGAGGAATGGCGTTTTCGGATACTGTAGCCATTTTTTGGCCTAAATTATTGTTGTTCAGCTTCCAAAAAAAAAAAAACAAAAAAAAAAAAAACCACTAAATAAAAGTATTGTGTTTAGATCAGATTATCATACAAGCATTTACAAGCGACTGTTGTACACACACACAGTAGATCTTGATCACTAATTAGGTCTATGTTCATGTAATAAACTGTTTATGCTAATTAACTTTAATTTATGTTCTACTAAATGAGCTGTTCTTGTTTGATTTTTAATTTCTGTTTGTCACTTCCTTGTTGTCTTTATTGTAATTAATTTATTTGTATCGTACCAAATCCATTTTCAAATATATATAACAAATATAAAATATAATTGAAAATGAGACTTAAAGAAAATAATAAATACAAGATTAAAGTGCACACAAAAATTCAAAAATTGATATTTTCTTAGTTTATTCTATGCTTTTCCATGGTAACGTTGAGTTGTTATCACTGGGCGCCGTACAAAGGGTACGGCTATGCATAACTCAGCCCGCAGCAAGATCAATGACCCCTAATAGTCAATTTCCATAGCAGCAGAGCCGTGGGACTGTTCCTATAAATAGTACTAGAAGAAGCAGGTACTGGCATTATATTGCGTTTATCCTGTAAATACGAATTTATTCCTCCATGCTCATGGCAACAACATGAGTTTGGCCTGGTTATAACACTGGGCGGCGTACAAAGGGTTTGAGCTATGCATAACTTGGCCGGCAGCAAGGTCAATGACACGTACACTTTGATTCAGTCTGTATTTCCATAGTAGCAGAGCGTGGGAATGTTCCTATGAATAGTTCTAGAAAAAGCAATATACTGGCATTAAATTGCGTTTATCCTGTCAATATTCATAGCAAAAACATGAGTTTGGCTTGATTATAATACAGTATAAAAGTGAATAGGAATTTCAGTGGGTTTCGAGTCTTGGTATTCAACATTTCGGTTTTGAATTTTACAGGATAGCTCAATAACAAATGACAGGATATAGTATTAAAATTAATTCATAATAATGAATGAAACTTATGACAAAACATAGAAAAGAGACTCGTCAATAAATTACAGTACATCAAAATCACGAGATAAGCCGACGCAAACAAGTAGAACAAAAACGTCAGAAAACGAACCCTAATTCGCGAAATGGAATCGTCCAACATTTTTTATCAGTATCTTAAACCGTTGCGTTGGCAACGCGAAAAAATTATAATCCCCAACCACACATTGTAGACGGGTATAAGCTTTGTTTTATTTTGCGAGGTTCCCTAAGCAATGGGTTGAAACATATAATAGCGAAATCCTTTTTAAACAATAAATGTGACCAGTTAATAGAACTGTCAATAATCCTAGTGCTATGAAAAATCAACCCTAACGAATTACATGGTTTATAATCCTCATTGATATCATCAGGTAAATTGTGTAAGTCAATACTTACTTTAGACGGAAGTGTAATGTTACATTGTTGTTCATGGTCTATTAAATTTTATGAATTACATTACTCGCATTTCTACTCGACTTTCTAGATTCTGTATATTATAAAGAGACTGAAATTTATTTTTATATTGTTGCAATTGGACAATTGGTCTTTGGATACCAGATACCATAAGAGTGATATGTGATTACAAAGGAAAAGTGTTCAGAAACATTTTTTTATCTATATTTTTATAACATGTAGGATGGGGCAACGGCATTGTACGTAAGTGCTCAAAATGGTCATACATATGCTTGTGGACTCCTTATTCAATCAGGAGCGAACAAGGATATTCAAAGGAAGGTAAGTACAATACTATTACATTTTTTTCCCCATGTCTATTAAATTTGATGAAGTAAATGTGATATATCTTTGTGCTATTTGATGAAGTCATATCTTTTTGGAAATTTCTCCATTCTAATAAACTTTACATGTTGACATACTGTACTTTTTATTATTATGTACTGTATATCTACCCTACTTGTACCAGTTACCATAAAATTTGTATAATGGGTCAACGACCTGTTTTATGTAGAATAGGATGAAGAGAGGATAGAAGATTATCTCACAATTGGTCTTTGGATACCAGATACCATAAGAGTGATATGTGATTACAAAGGAAAAGTGCTCACAAACATTTTTTTATCTATATTTTTATAACATGTAGGATGGGGCAACGGCATTGTACGTAAGTGTTCAAAATGGTCATACAGATGCTTGTGGACTCCTTATTCAATCAGGAGCCAACAAGGATATTCAAACGAAGGTAAAGTACAATACTATTATATTTTTTTCCCCATGTCTATTAAATTTGATGAAGTAAATGTGATATATCTTTGTGCTATTTGATGAAGTCATATCTTTTTGGAAATTTCTCCATTCTAATAAACTTTAGACATTGACATACTGTTCTTTTTATTGTGTACTGTATATATACCCCACTTGTACCAGTTACCATAAAATTTGTATAATGGGTCAACGACATGTTTTATATAGAATAGGATGAAGAGAGGATAGAAGATCATCTCTCTTAGTTTATGTCATTTATATACAGTTCCAAGGATGCTTCCCTATGATGAAAAATTGGTATTTGGAATGCATGATAATTAGAGATTAAATGATGTACCCAATCTGTACCAATTAAAGAGTAATATGTTACTTCAAATGAAAAGTGCTCACTTATTAAACATTTTAATCCATTTTTCTATAATATGTAGGTTGGGTATACGGCTTTGCATGTAGGTGCTTTCACTGGTCATACTGATATTTGTAGGCTTCTCATTCAATCAGGAGCAAACAAAGATATTCAGGCAGAAGTAAGTATGATAATACATTTTTGTTCCTGGTCTATTCAATTTTATGCATACATACACAGATTTCCATCGCAACCAGTATACCGTACTGTACGGTAGTACAACTTGAAAATAAAACAGACATGAAATTAACAATAAACATTTGATGCATCATTATATTTTATGTATTATCCAACGTGTGTTTCTTAAAGTTACTTTTTGAAGAAATAGAAAGAGTTAACGTTATATTACTAGACCAATGGACATGTCAGAGCCATCATGAAACTTTGCCCAGTCAGCGGCAGTGCTTACTAAGCTGCTTTCCATACCAAACAGCACTTTGCCAACCATCCTAAGCCGCATTGTGCCATTGGCATAAAATTTTTACACAGCAGTGCAATCGCATGCAGGTGGTGTTAATATCACTACAAATACAACTTGAAACAGAAAATGTTGTAGAAAAAGGGGAAATTGAGGCGGAATGAAGCGTAGAATTCCTGTTTTAATTTTTAGTTGAAACAAAATCATATTTAAAAATCCCATGGATCCATCATTTAGACAATGATGTTTTATCAATCTGAGTACGTATTTTACAAACCGTCACTAGTAGTAAAGTCTACATCATCCAGGCTTACTAGGATCAAGTTTTACCATGTTGAAATAAAGTATTTTAAATATCTACTGCACAATTTAAGTGCAAAGCTAGCCTTTATCTTGGTCGTAATTAATGTGTGATGGGCAACGATAGTTGCTGGTACCGGGTTATCAGGTAGCACAGACACGAAGGGACCCTTAGTGGCTAAAAAAGTTATTGATCGAGTTCCTAGTCCACATATCATGCGCCCTGAGCATCTTACATTTGATGGATATGTGCACTATTTAAAACTACACTATTATATATTATTATTATTATTATTATTATTATTATTATTATTATTATTATTATTGTTATTATTTTTATTATTATTATTATTATTATTTACCAATTCCTGATGAATTAGAGTGTATTAAAGTGAATGCCCTGAGAAATTTCCGCAATATTTGTGTGTTTTGTATCACATCCCTGGTCAGGCTTCAATTTCCATTTTGTCCTCGTGCAATACCTCCGTGAATCAGTATATATTATTAGATCAAAATCACCAAGAGCTGGTTTTATTAACTGCGGAGATTTCAATGAAGTCACACATAGATAGGACAGGGTTAAAACAGATTGTAAAAAACACCCATAAGATTTAGCAAATATCATTGATTTGTCACAAATCTAGCTAATTATTTTGAAGAGCCATCAGTGCATGCTCTTTTTTGATTAAGGGATTGATTATGCAGCAATATGTAGGAAACTAAAGCTTGGGTCAGTTGGAAATAAGGTAGACTTGCCACAAGTCTCTAATTTATGGATTTTTCGTAGTACATTAGCGCATTTCGGAAAG